TTTATCGTCAAAAAAAAAATAAAAATAAAAATAAAAGAGTTGCCCGAATTATTTACGTTACTCGGAAACAAACACTTAATAAGAACAGATCGCACGGGGAAAAGAGTTATGTATCAATTTCTAAGTCGAAGTCAGACCACCAACAATGCGTTTGCAACTACTCTAGTCTTAGATATCCATTTCTCGGTCAAAATTAATTATCCGTGTGGGATGCATAAAAGATAATAAATATGACGTTCATACCTATTCACGCATGCGCAAAGATTGTGTTTATTTATTTTAGCTTCAGCTTAAATGCATGACAGATTCCTCCTCATTAGTTTATAACTCTTTTTTTGTTAATTGCAGACCCCTTTGTGGATGCCTCAAAAACTCTCAACAACTTCAGATTCAAGTCATAAAGGTTTTTGTAGGTTGGATTCATGTTATGAAAATAAAGTTGACTCATCAACCTTTAAATAATTTAATAGTTCTCTTAGCTATCGACCGACGCAGTCATCTTCAGAGGAACTAAAATACTTTACAATATGTATGAACAAAACTACAACGTGATCAAACTTAGTACATATGCGCGAGTAATAGAATCGCGCGTACAAACCCGAAAACACCAGGATTGAGAATTACAAAAGATTTATGTAATTTGCTGGCAGAATTCTGCCTCCGTGTCTCTTAAAAATAATGTTCTTTTGCCTTGATATTTCACATGCTTCCAGCCACTTTCTTTGACTCCATCTTTGCTCTTTTTTCACGATTGAAATGTCACCCCATGGGATTTTCAATTTACTAATAATTATAGTTTTACCAAATATAGTACGAGAATTATCACTCGTACTTCACGGAAATCCCATTCAGTCCTTATTGTCGGGTTTGAAAATAGCGAATATATGTTAAATACAAGTTTTAATATGGCGTTTTTGATTGTTGCTATTTATATTTTGTTGCATTTTCGAGTTTCTTAAGTCATGCTTGTCATAGTTCTTCTGCCATCCATAGATGCCAGATGTTAATATAAGTGTTGAATATGGTCTGTTAGATTCTTGCCATTTTTATTTTGTTGCATTAGAAATCCTCGTTGCTAGTCAGTTATAGCGAAAGAAAACAATGTGTGACACTTAACCACGCGCACTCAATGCTAACCACTATACGAAGTGACACTAGGTTAAGTGTCACGTATTGTTTTCTTTCGCTATATATAACTGACTTTAGATTTGTAATTTTATTCAATCCATGACGAGGGGCCAAGTGGCCCGAAAACTTGGATATTAAAAAATATCAAATTACACGTAGAAGAAATGTCTTTATTTTTGATAAATATGCACTTACACCTAAATACAATATACTCAATTTCACTTACTTTGAAATCAGTTCCACGAAACTTAACTGGAACACATGAATACTCTGCAGAAATTAAAGTYGGGGCTAACCCTGAGCAACAGAGAATTCGAAATTGAAGTATTACGCAGCAAGTCGTCAATCGGCCTTGTTATATGCGATGGATAATAGCTGATAATGCATGCAGCTCAAGTGTTTCCGAAAAGGTATCTTTAAAAGTAAAATGCTTCGAATATTAAAACTTGCTAACCTAGGGTCCAGAGAATATTTATTCTCAGCCTGGCGTTTGCTGTGCTTGCTCTTTAAAGCCACAGGAAGCGAAATGGAACTTGTGTATGTCAATGATAAAATAGAATTGAATACATAAACTGAAATTGTACATTTTATCCTGGTCAAAAGATCTAGCTTTCATGATCATCAACCGCTGTACCAAATAAATAACTGAATAGTTCTGGAAAAAGAGTAGTTCTAGTATTTCTTAATCCAAACATCAGCACAAGTTTGTCCCTCGTTATCATATTCAAATTCGTTGTTCAGATCTTGATCCACCCATATCCTGAACTCCTTGCCTGCTGTCACTGCAAGGGGAGGTGACAACTCGGGGAATGTAAGTTCTGGGTCCATGTTGGTCACACCTGGCAACTGGTATATCAGGAAACCGTACCAAACGTAAGTCAGTGGGAAGTCAGGTGATGGACTGATTCTATTGTTGTCGGCATCAGTGATGTGTAAATTAAGATCTTTATTGTTGCTTCTAAAGGTAGTTCCCCAGTAGGCTTTGGTGGTTCTAGCTACCCACGATATTCCACCACCAGACACATAAACAAGTTTGAAGTTCAAGACATGGCAAGCAACTGGAATAGTAAACTTTTCGAACTGATCATTCTTTGAACCAATGCACACTGCGCTACCAACTTTAAGCCATTCTACGATTTAATAAATAATCCTGACTTTAGTTCTAGTTTAATTATTAGGTCTCTCCCTTTATTTGAGGCTTTTGTCAGAGATTCCCCAGTTTTTCCTTCCTCCACAATTTCTAGCACACCCAATTGAAACTTAAATTAAGTTATCATTTTGTGAGTTTTAAATGAATAAAAAATGTTCTGGCTTATATTACCAGGAAAAATTTGGATTCCCAGTTTTTAAAGCATTTCGATATTTCTTATTGTATATATAGGTTATATCAATATTCTTTGGGTGTTACGTCATAACCACCATCTTGGTTGACGTTATCAAAGCATTATTCCTCTTAGCTTCTCTTGTTAGATCAATCATCATGGCCACAGTTTCATTGTTATTTGTATCGCAAGGGATTTTCGCTGATGTGGTTGTAATAGCAAGTTTTGCAAACACACCACCACAATACACAATAAGAAAAGATCCTTTGAACAATTCTCAAATCGCTTGATTATCACTAATCCAATGAAAACTGATGCTTTTTTTCTTTTTTTTTTTTCCTTTTAACCCAACGTAGTGGACTTACAAGAATAAACTTAAAATATTTCTTGTCTTTTGTGCATAACCATGCCTCAATTTTAAAAACATATAGATTCAATGTTTTTGTATTTTTAAGATTTTTCTTTTTCTTTTTTAATTTTATACTACTATCTATTTAGAATGCGTCGGCATAGCCCTTTATAAAGAAAGTTAGAATAAATAAAACCGTCATTTCTTTTTTCGCTATTCTCACTGAATAAATTATCACCAAGCAGTATAAATTAAGTCAACACACATGGCTCATTGCATAACGTCTTTTGGAGCTTCGAAGCCAGAAGCCAACATTCTAGTGCTCTATTATGCATGTTGAGGAAACACAGACGGGACTTAGAGGCGCTTATGATGACGGCAGGTATTGTGAGACAAAGTCTGTAGTCAGTCTCGGATTTGTTGTACTCCATTTGTTTCGTTTTACCGGTGCAAAGAGAATTTCAAAGACATCATTTGTACTTAGAGCTCACGTGACGCGCTTGGCGACTTCTAGAAGGTGGACAGAGACTATTGTGCCTGGAGTTCTGGGTACTCGGCTAGCTACCAAGACGACTTGAGAATGTTTGTGTGCTTGGAGTTTAGGGAAGTCGGCTAGCTCATGCACGAGAAAACTCGAGAATCTGATTTGCGTGGGTTTGGAGTCCAAGGGAACTCGTCCAGCTCCAACAAGCTCGAAAGACTTTTAAGTCTTAAAAGAATGTTTGTGTGCCTGGAGTTCAGGGAACTCGGCTATCTCACGAGAAAACTTGAGACAATTTGTGTAGGCCTGGAGTTCAAGGAACTCGGCTAGCTCGGGAAGGCTTGAGATTGTTTCGTGTGGGCCTGGAGTTCAAGGAACTCGGCTA